GTGCAAAATTAGAAACTGTATAAGTTACTTGCCAGAAACATAATTCAGGATAATATAAGTTTCAATTTCTTTCTAATAATTATAGTTATCAAAACATTATTAATATTGTAATTGTAATTACACGTTAACATTATTAATATTGTAATTATAATATTACAATTATTATAGTTATAATATTATCATTACAATTACAGTTATTATAATTATAACATTATAATTACAATTATTATAGTTATAACATTATAATTACAATTATTATAACTATATCATTACAATTACAGTTATTATAACTATAACATTATAATTACAATTATTATAACTATATCATTACAATTACAGTTATTATAACTATAACATTATAATCACAATTATTATACTTATAACATTATAATTACAATTATTATAACTATAACATAACAATTACATTTATTACAATTATAACATTATAATTATAATTATTATAGTTATTACATTATAATTACAATTATTATAATTATAACATTATAATTATAATTATAATTACAATTATTATAGTTATAACATTATAATTATAATAAGTAATTATAATAACCAACTTTTTACATAAATGCGTAAGTCCGCAGTCCAGGTATTATCATAATCTAGAAACATTTCCGTGCAATCTCGGCTGTAGAAATAACAGCACGATCCACGGAATATAATTATTTCCAGCTGTTATTAGACTGCGAATACTTTATGCGAAAAATAATTCGCACCGCTCGCAAGCGACCGTGGCCGGCCAGATTACGTTCACCACCGAACTTCTTTTAATCTTCCCACCGATTTAAGTTCAACATAAATGTTTCAACCGGAGGATCTCTCGCGGTGGAAAGCAAAGCGTGTCCCACGAATTTTCAAATCCGTTTTGAAAGGACAGCACGAGCTCGCTCCGTCCGAGACTGGTATCGCGGGACAAGATTCCGTCGATTTCTTCGGGTGGATTAAACGCTTCTGAATTTCGAGCGTGGCACGATCGGGCCGGGATCCTTGAATTTCGGCGGCTGATTAGAAAGTAAGAAGTGGGTCGTCGTCGTCGCCGTCGTCGTCCGCGCGCGTTCCCGCGGATGTGTAAGCAATAAAATGAACGCTATTTGTTCGACCGGCGAGTTTTACGAGCGAACGGTCCGCATTCAGTGGCGGGCGACGTCGGCGAAGTGGCCCGTATAAAAGGAGGCAGGAAAGCCGTGAACCGCCAAGTGGCGTCCACTAAAGTGGACCGCGTGAAAAGCGCCTTATTGTCGGGCTCGGTCCTTTGCCAGACCTCTCCCCCCCCCTCCTTTCACTCTCTCTCTCTCTCACTCTCTTTCACTCTCTCTCACTCTCCCTCTCTCACTCTCTCTCTTTCACTCGCTATCGCTCTCTCTCTCTCTTTCACTCGCTATCGCTCTCTCTCTCTCTCTTTCACTCGCTATCGCTCTCTCTCTCTCTTTCACTCGCTATCGCTCTCTCTCTCTCTCTCGCTATCGCTCTCTCTCTCACTCACTCACACACACACACACACACACATATACACCGGCCTCTCTCTTCAGCCGAGGCACTTCCTATCGCGATCGACGCCGTCCGACAAAGTCGTGCTTTCAGCGAAGGAGATACCGTGGAGCGACACAGCGGGGAAGAAAGAAACAAGACCCGCCCCCGCAGCTTCCTGCGAAAATCGACGTCTATTTTTCGGCCGCGAGACTCGCAAACGGCGGCCTCAGACGTACGTACCTCGTGCTTTCCAGCCGCGGAGATGTCGTCGAGGAACGCGAAACACAGATTCGCGAGTGAAGGAAATACAGTAATTTCTTCGAGAAATGTTTGGAGTCAGAATCTAAACACTCAGATCGGAGAATACTAAGTCGGGGTACGATGCGATTTTTCGAGACTCGCGGCTCGTTTTTGTAGGAACTATGGGTAGTCGGATAAAAAAGGCAGCGACCAGAATGTCGGTGTACATTAATATGAATACATAGTATTGTTGGAATAAAAACGGTGACTTAACTTCCTCATTTTTAATTTTTTGCCACGATTCGGAGACAGGCATTAGTTATTATAATTGCAATTATTATAATTAGTTATTATAATTGAAATTATTATAATTAGTTATTATAATTGAAATTATTATAATTAGTTATATTATAATTGCAATTATTATAATTACTTATTATAATTACAATAATTGTAATTACAT